GGGACTGGGGGAGGGATAGTAGAGAATTTCGAAGCTCGTGATTATTTAGTATGAGCAAAAAGAAGAGGGTATAGATTCTGTGAGATTGTAAATTCGTCAAAGAATTTCAATTTTAATCTCTTTTATTATGAAAAAAATTAGAGTTGAGAATTTGAGTTTGTTACAGTAAAAAGCTCTCAGAAACAGTTACATCTAACTTTTTTACTACAGTAAAAAAATTTTCACATAAAATCACATCTCAACTCAAATCAGCGAACTAAACGGACATGCTTCTCCATTCCGTTAAGTTATACAGCTTTCTTTGGTTGAACAAAATATCGTTTAACACCTATCTTTTTTTTTTTTTTTTTTTTGAGATATGAGGGCATGCATTAGGTTTCCAACACCTTTCTGCTACAGCGCACGTTCTTTTCGAGATAAACAAATTAAAAAGAGGGGGAAATTTACTTTTCCCACGTCGCTCACAAAATTATAGTTTTTTTTTTTTTTTTTCAGGGAATGTTTTCTTTTAAATAATTGGCGTATATAATATTTCTTTTGTTCCCTCTTCTTTTTCCGCTTTAGAATCATACATTCAACTTGTATATGCTTTTGGGCTCTTCAATCGGCACGTTAGAGTCAGTTTCGATATCATTTTTATGCTTTTTAGAGAGAGATTTTAAAAAACACCACAAAAAAATTCTATTTGAAGTTTAAATAGTTGGGTGCGTGAATGTGTGTGTGTCCACCAGGGTTGGAGTCGTGATGGTTTCATCACTTGTGTAAAATGGAAGACATAAACCCCACACTGTGATAAAAAAAAAAAAATCCTCACATTTGGATTTATGATGACTGGAATTATTGTTAGATTTACTGGTGTAATAATCAATTATGATATGATATGAAGCAAATTAGTGTCTGATAAAATGTGTTCTCAAATTTGTACTAGAAGTATCTCTCAAGACACTTCTCATAATTCATGCTACAAGCATCAAATTGTCAAATAATCCTGGGGTTCGTGTGCCTTTATCAAACATCATAAGAGGTGCAATTATAACTACTTTTGGGAACATCTACATCAACCCCAAACGGGGTCTTAGTTAAACAATTTTTTAATTTTTTAATTTTTTTTTTTGTTAAAGTTTAATATCTCGACTTATATTGAAAGGTGATAGATCATTAGATAAATACAACCATAGATAAATTATGTGCTGAAACTTTGGGAGATGAAGAATTTGGAAGAGTTGGCATCTAATATTGTAAGAAGTCATATTCTGTATTGTTTTGTTTTATTAATTTTTTTTATTTGAGGCAGTGATTTGAACTTTACATCTTATTGGTGGAATCATAAATGGAATTACCGCTACATTATCTACAACCACAATCTTATTACTAGCACATATTTAGCTTTATTATTTATTTAATTGCTTTTAATCACTGTCATTACGTCCAAACAATAAAAAGAACGTTATAAACTGAATATAGATTATTTATTTTATTTGAGAAAATGTTTTCAACAAACAAGCAAAATTGTGGGATTACAAAAAGTTTTCTAACGATTATTTGCGACGACACTAATCGTCGCAAAAACCCCTTTTTCTTATAGTGCGACCCAATATTAGTAGAAATAAACTTGCTCTAGTTCAATGCAATAGGCTTATAACCAACGCTAAATTATTCTCATCATATGATGGTTGAAAATTTCAAATGTTAAAATTATGTTTACGTTATGGTTCAATTTTTTATTTTTTTTGAAATCTATATTGTGGGTCGATTTACTCGATCGATAAGAAAATACACACAATTGCACGTCAACAGTTTGCAGTTATATATGAACCATATTGCCATTAATCCTATCATTTTTTTTCCGCAAATCCTGTTTCTGAAGAAATACACAACTTTTTTCTTTTTCTTTTTTTTTTTTGCTAGAATACACCGGTCATTTTATTTTCTCGATTAAATACACTTATAGATTTAATTAATTATATATATAATTGTTAATATCCATTCCTTTCCTCTGATAAAAAGAATAGACATGTTGAATGGTTAATATTCATACCCTTGCTTGATCACAATATACAGAATATAATTATATAACTCTGTCGCAACTTTTCTTTTTCCTGCACTTGTTTTGGAAGTACAAGATCTGTCACTTATTTTTAAGATATTATATATGTACTCTATTATTTGTTGCTCAATTAGCTTGATATCGTCGTCAGGGTCAAAGCTATATGGACGCGATATATATATATATATAACATATATATATATATATATATTTATAGGAGCTAGACGTTATAAGACTTTGATGAGAAACTTCCAATTTATTTATACAAAATAGATATATATTTATATGAAACAAATAATAATTTCGAGAGCGGACCACAAAACGTCTTGGCTGACATAATCATTCAAAGAAATTACATAACTAAATCATAAAGTCATAAAAGAAAAGCATATTTCGACGAAAGCTGAAAAGAATTATCCAATATTATGTGGCGATGCGTTCTCTTCATCTCAAATCGGCTTTCCCATTTCATATGCCACACATGCAAAAGCGACGCCAAGATGAGACTTTTTTGCTGCAGCAATTATTTGTTTGGAAATACGGAAACTGCAATTGCAAAACTGAATATATTATTGTCATAAAGAAGAGAATATATTAACTCCTAATTGGAATTTGCATCATATCTATAAAACTTACGTAAATGGAGCGTAAGAACCAATTATGGTCTTAGTAGTGATGTGGAGGTGGAGGGGATTTGTAAACATATGGAGGAGGAGGCGGAGATTGATAAACGTAGGGAGGTGGTGGTGGAGACTTGTAAACATAAGGAGGTGGTGGTGGAGAGCTGTAGACATAAGGCGGAGGAGGTGAAGGTGATGGAGGAGGAGGACTCTTGTAGATGTAAGGAGGCGGAGGTGGAGAGCTGTAAACATAAGGCGGCGGAGGAGGGGACTTATAGACATAAGGAGGTGGTGGTGGCGAGCTATAGACATAAGGTGGGGGAGGTGATGGTGATGGAGGAGGAGGGGACTTGTAGACGTAAGGAGGCGGTGGTGGAGACTTGTAGACATAAGGCGGCGGAGGAGGGGACTTATAGACATAAGGAGGTGGTGGTGGCGAGCTATAGACATAAGGTGGGGGAGGTGATGGTGATGGAGGAGGAGGGGACTTGTAGACGTAAGGAGGCGGTGGTGGAGACTTGTAGACATAAGGCGGCGGAGGAGGGGACTTATAGACATAAGGAGGTGGTGGTGGCGAGCTATAGACATAAGGTGGGGGAGGTGATGGTGATGGAGGAGGAGGGGACTTGTAGACGTAAGGAGGCGGTGGTGGAGACTTGTAGACATAAGGCGGCGGAGGAGGGGACTTATAGACATAAGGAGGTGGTGGTGGCGAGCTATAGACATAAGGTGGGGGAGGTGATGGTGATGGAGGAGGAGGGGACTTGTAGACGTAAGGAGGCGGTGGTGGAGACTTGTAGACATAAGGCGGCGGAGGAGGGGACTTATAGACATAAGGAGGTGGTGGTGGCGAGCTATAGACATAAGGTGGGGGAGGTGATGGTGATGGAGGAGGAGGGGACTTGTAGACGTAAGGAGGGGGTGGTGGAGAGCTGTAGACATAAGGTGGGGGAGGTGATGGTGATGGAGGAGGAGGGGACTTGTAGACGTAAGGAGGCGGTGGTGGAGACTTGTAGACATAAGGCGGCGGAGGAGGGGACTTATAGACATAAGGAGGTGGTGGTGGAGAGCTGTAAACATAAGGTGGGGGAGGTGATGGTGATGGAGGAGGAGGGGACTTGTAGACGTAAGGAGGTGGTGGCGGAGAGCTATAAACATAAGATGGTGGAGGTGGGGACTTGTAAACATAAGGAGGTGGTGGTGGAGACTTGTAGACATAAGGAGGTGGTGGAGGAGAGCTGTAGACATAAGGCGGAGGAGGTGAAGGTGATGGAGGAGGTGGAGACTTGTAATAGTACTTAGGTGGTGGTGGAGACTTGTAGTAGTACTTTGGTGGAGGAGGGGGTGACTTGTAGTAGTACTTTGGTGGCGGTGGTGGCGACTTGTAGTAGTATTTAGGAGGGGGGGGAGGAGACTTGTAGTAGTATTTAGGTGGTGGAGGTGGTGATTTATAATAGTACTTAGGTGGTGGCGGAGGGGATTTGTAAATGTATGGTGGTGGGGGTGGAGACTTATAAACGTAGGGTGGCGGAGGAGGGGATTTGTAGACATAGGGTGGGGGAGGAGGGGATGCATATGTGTATGGCTTATCATATGCCGCTACATTGGTGGCAATCAAGCATATTGCCAAGGCATACAGAAGATGGGGCCAGAAATTGGCCATTTTGAGAAGGCTGAGTGCTAAGAAGCCCCAAAACTTTAGGACTTCAATTGCTTAGAGACTGATTATTTGATTTTGGATGAATGCTAATGGAATGCGTTTCACAGCTTATATAGAGATCTCTTCAACGAGTGAAACATTTATTTAGTAATATGTCCATGTTCACTACCTTCAACAAACCTATTATTTAAGCTTCAAAAATTTATTTTCAACTTCTGATTCTAATTTATTATGAAAAGTTGGATGATGGGAACCCACTCAATCTTTAGATGACTCTTTATGCGTATGAAATTGAATCAGTCTAGTTAGACCTCTTAGTGCTGTTGTGCACTACACCAATTAATGAAGTTTAACAAAAAATAATTTAAAAGTTATATATCATTATTTGGACTTGTATACTGAACTTTTTTTGATTAAATACTCTGAATTTGTTAGAGGGAGTAGGTATTATTTACTTGCTGAAAGGAACATTCTACTTGAAATTATTTGGACTGATTAAGCTTTTGTATTATTGGTAGGTTAATTAACTTGGTCCAAAATCGAAACTTTTATAAAGTGAATATACACATTTGTGAGAAAAATGCCTGATGTCGCAGAATAAACAAGTCAGTTTAGATTAGAAATCATTGTCATAATTCAAATATTTGCTTATTGACAGTGTTATTTTACGGCAGTATGTATCATTATCATAAATACCCGACTGTCGTGCAACGATACTCTTTTTTTTTAATACAACATGAGATTAAACTCGCAACTTCCACCCAAACTCCCCGTGCCATTACATTAAGCAGTCTTTAGGCGAGACTAAGGGATTCTCATAGACACTAATTTGATAAAAGTAATTAATTTAGCATATATATGGTGTGTCGTTTCTTGATCAAAAGATTAAATTTGTGATCAATTGGGTAGGAAGCTGTCAAAAGATATATTAGATGGTTGTTGGCGGAGCATGTTAATTCGTCCACTTAGTTTAATTAATAACCTATTCCAACTTGTTGTTTGGATTTCGTTAATCAGTTACTTCAACGGAAACTAACAAATTGGTGATTGTCAACAGTGATGTAACTGGCCTATAAGATCGTGCTTATACGTTGAAAAGACAAAAGCCTTTCTTTTTTAGTGTTTTCGTCTGGTTTTTTTTTTTTTTTTTTTTGTCCTTCGTTTTTCTTTTTCTTTTGGCTGAGAAGAAGAGATGAAATATAGCTCTGCACATATGTTCCAGAGTCCAAATGGACGCACGCGTTATTTCTTTGCCTCATTATTATTATTATTATTATTATTATTATTATTATTATTTGAGATTCTTACAGTAAGACCTAAAAAATCAATATTCGGTATTTTTTGTAGTAGAAATTTCGTTCTGTGTACTTTATTATTTTAACAGAAATAGTAGGAAATAGACCAATATGAAAAGCTTAAGAAAGTATATAGGCCAATTTTTAGTTATATAAATTAATAGGCCATAACTTGTTAAGTTATGGTTCATAACCAGATCAGATATGGACAAACTTGTCAAGTTATGGTTCATAGTCAGACAAGTTATGGATAAAAACTGTGAATTATGGATATAACTTGTCAAGTTATAGTTCATAACCAGACAAGTTATGGACAAAAACAGTAATTTGGCCTATTTATTAACTTATGTAAACTATTGGCCTATTAATTTTAATTCATCTCAAGTCTTGGTTTATTTTCCTCTTTCTCCCATATTTTAATTAAATGTATGTAATCCGCTAGGAGTTCCTACTATAAAAGGGCCTCTATTTTTTTTTTAAAAAAAATGAAGAATTTCTTGATTTTTAACTGTTTCAAATTAAAAGTTCAACTTATCAGTATTCTCAAATTCCTTTCATTTTTCTTGTCTAATAGATTTTATCTTTTGCAAGGTCGTCAATGTTGTTCTTTGTTCAGCTACTTTCTCATATGCAAGTGACCATGCGTTAAAGTCAGGAGAAAATAAATGGTGTTGATTAGTTCGTAGTTTCAACCGCAATTCAAATATTTTACTACAGTATTTATTCTCACAAAATTTTAACTACAATTCACAGTACTTGATTCTTATTCTTTTCTTCTGCTTTCCCGAAATAAACTAAATATTCATTTCGTTGTATAATGTCATTCTCATTTAATTATATTGGACCAAATATTTAATAATATAATTAATATTTATATATGATTTTATACATATGGAGTGCCCTGCATTAGTTGAGCATGTTGAAGATTCCTGTAATCTGTCATCGTGAAAATTATATTAACAAACAACAATCAATAAATGATAAACAAAAAGAAACAGAAAAGGTCATGCACGGAAAGGAAAAGACTAGAGCGATCCTTGGTGTTTTCACTCTTTTGCTTTCTTCTTTCAATAATATTGAAGAAAGAAAATGAAGGTTTTTTTAATTTAAAAATAATTTCAGAATAAAGCACGTTTGTTAACAACCCGATAATGATTGAGATAAACTCGTTACCACTAAAAGTTCAACATAATCACGATATAATTAGCTTTGATGCTTATACTTTTCAGTACTAACAAGGTCGTCTTAGGAGCTGTTTAACAAAGCAACCAAACCCCAACCAAGAAACAATTAAGTTATTAGTAAACCGTAACTTTGTATTGGTTTAGACTTGTAAAACGATCAAAATGGACATAAAGATAAATTATTTTTTTTATAGAATGAAGAACTTAAAAACATTTCAATGTTATTAATATGATTGTTTTTTAATCGTATCTAACAAAAATAACCCACTATTTTAATTATGTCATTTAACTTCCTCGTTTAGTTGAGGGTCAAAATATAAAAACCATATAACAATTCAAGAAAGAATAAATAATAATAATAATAATAATAACAATAACAATAATAATAATAATAATAATAATAATAATAATAACAACAACAACAATAATAATAATAATAATAATAATAACAATAACAATAATAATAATAATAATAATAACAATAATAATAAGAATAATAAGAATAATAATACTAATAATAATAATAATAATAATAATAATAACAATAATAATAATAATAACAATAATAATAATAATAATAATAATAATAATAATAATAATAATAATATAAATAATATGTGCTCGGTGGTCTTCGAAATTGCCTGAGGCCAAAGAAGATAGGGAGGTGAGGTACAACACCTGTTCCCTTTTTTTATTCAGAAAAAAAAATGTAAATCGTCATTTGTTTTATTAATATTGGTGTGGAAGGATAATACTAGTGATATTACGTACATTTCATTTGATGATAACAAAAAATTTTGCCCTAAAAAAACAAAAAAAATTATTAGTTAAAGCGTCTCTCTCTATTGACGTTTGTAGGTCGTACAGCAAATGTTGTGCACTCTTACTTTTTGATTGCAGGTCATACGAATAAAGCTTTAATAAAAAATAAATAAATAAATAAATAAAACAAGCCCTGGGGATACCTGTCTTAATAGGAAGGGTATGTGAGATATAATTATGAGAAAATTATGATTCTATTGCTTAAATATCTAATTTATTAAAAGTACTCTTTTTAAATACTTTATCCATAGACTAATTCCAACTTAAAATGTAAAAATATATAAACTAATATTAAGGGGTAAAAATAAAAAACGACTTTATCTCGTGCCTCACCACGAGCCAATTATATATATGTGTGTGTGGTGTGTGTCTAACATGGAGGTAAAAAAGAGAAACTTCTTTAAAAAAAAAAAAAAAAAAAAGGTTTAAATTATGCTCAATTGCTGATATATGGTTAAATCGAGTGTTAAAATTATGTATGCTTAGTATGTAGAGCATTAACTCTCTCGCAACTTTTCTTTTTTCTTGTAATTTTTTTGCTCGCAGTTGTCGTAATGGAAGGACAAACTTATAAAGATTCATTCTTTAACTTTAATATTTACTCTTTCACTAGTTGCTCAATTAGCTTGATCTCATCGTCAGGGTATAAATATCAAATCACTAGTGAAGAAATTGCGAGAGGAGCTAGCTTTATGACTTTTAAGAGTTACTTTCAATAATTTATTCAACCATAAACAAATATATGAAACAAATTTATAATATTTTCCAACAGACCGCACGACGTCTTGGCCGACGACACCATTCAAAGAAATATCACGTAATTAACAAATCATCAACTTATAAAAGTAAAGAATATGTTGACGAAAGCTGCAAATAATGATCCAATCTTATGTGACGCTGCATTTTCTTCTTCTCAAATTATCGGCTTCCCCATTTGATATGCAAACATGGAAAAGCGATGCCAAGATGAGACTTTTTTTGCAGAAATTATTTGGTTGCCTATGCGGAAACTGCAATTGCAAAAAAAAATAAAGATATATTATTATAAAAAAAAAAAAAAAAGAGAAAATAAAAAGTCATGTTTGGGATTTGCATCATATCTATAAAACTTACGTGAATAGAGCGTAAGAACCAATTATGGTCTTAGTAATGATATGGAGGTGGAGGAGATTTGTAAACATCTGGAGGAGGAGGCGGGGATTGATAAACGTAGGGAGGTGGGGGTGGAGACTTGTAAACATAAGAAGGAGGTGGTGGAGAGCTGTATACATAAGGCGGAGGTGGTGAAGGTGATGGAGGAGGAGGAGACTTGTAGATGTAAGGAGGCGGAGGTGGAGAGCTGTAAACATAAGGCGGCGGAGGAGGGGACTTATAGACATAAGGTGGTGGTGGTGGCGAGCTGTAGACATAAGGTGGGGGAGGTGATGGTGATGGAGGAGGTGGAGACTTGTAAACATATGGAGGCGGTGGTGGAGAGCTGTAAACATAAGGTGGTGGAGGTGGGGACTTGTAAACATAAGGAGGTGGTGGTGGAGACTTGTAGACATAAGGAGGTGGTGGAGGAGAGCTGTAGACATAAGGCGGAGGAGGTGAAGGTGATGGAGGAGGTGGAGACTTGTAATAGTACTTAGGTGGCGGTGGTGGAGACTTGTAGTAGTACTTTGGTGGAGGAGGGGGTGACTTGTAGTAGTACTTTGGTGGCGGTGGTGGTGACTTGTAGTAGTATTTAGGAGGTGGGGGAGGAGACTTGTAGTAGTATTTAGGTGGTGGAGGTGGTGATTTATAATAGTACTTAGGTGGTGGCGGAGGGGATTTGTAAATGTATGGTGGTGGGGGTGGAGACTTATAAACGTAGGGTGGCGGAGAAGGGGATTTGTAGACATAGGGTGGCGGAGGAGGGGATGCATATGTGTATGGCTTATCATATGCCGCTACATTGGTGGCAATCAAGCATATTGCCAAGGCATACAGAAGATGGGGCCAGAAATTGGCCATTTTGAGAAGGCTGAGTGCTAAGAAGCCCCAAAACTTTAGGACTTCAATTGCTTAGAGACTGATTAGTTGATTTTGAATGAATGCTAATGGGATGCGTTTCCCAGCTTATATAGAGATCTCTTCAACGAGTGAAACATTTATTAGTAATATGTCAAGTTTCCTACCTGCAACAAACCCATTACTTAAGCTTCAAAAATTTATTTTCAACTTCCGATTCTAATTTATTATGATTAGTTGGATAATGGGAACCCACTCAATCTTTAGATGACTCTTTATGCGTATGAATGAATCAGTCTAGTTAGACCAAAAAAAAAAAAAAAAATCCTTTAAGTAATATATAGAGATTTGACATATATATAGATACAGAACCTTTTCTATACACAACTCTGTATTTGTAAGAGAGAGTAGGTATTGTTACTTGCCGAAAGGAACATATCCAAGGTTTGAATTGGAGGTTTTAATTAACTGGGTCCAATATCTAAACTGGATAAAGTCATGAATGTACACATTTGTGTGAAGGTGGCCTTATGTAGCATAAGTGTTAGTTTTGGTTAGAAATCATTGTCAGATGTAACAAATAGCAAATTGAAACCTTAGCTTATGAACCATATAATTGTACGGCAGTACGTGGTAGTCATTAATGGTAAAATGTCTAACAAATATTTAGAGATGTGTATTAAACTTAAGAACATTTAGCATGGAATTTCTGGTGAGCTCAGAGATTAAGGCAAATAGACGCCAATTAGAACGGAAGGACTTTTTATTCGCTATTGTTTGTTGCTGATGCTTTTACTTCGCTTAAACTAAAGATTTTATATTTAATTTTTGATAATCATGACTTTATTAATTGTTTGTATGTACTGCATGCTGGTTTCAGCATACTTTATTTTCCAATATTCTGTGAGGTCGGAATCTGTACAGCATAATAACATATGCCAACATTAAACTACGGAAAAGACGGGCGGCGACCGGAAATTATTAAACGCTAAGCTTCGGCCGGAAACTGGCACCAATGAAGGGTTCAGTGAATTGATCTAAACATGCCATGCGTATTCTTTCGGGTGTCGCCGGATTGTCGAGAGGAAACCAGTCGTTGTTCCCTACTTCTGCCCTCACAGATGCAATGGCGTCTTTGATGGCAAAAAACGCTGCTGAAGCCAGGAAGAATGGGGGCTCTCCAACAGCTTTAGATGAATGGATAGCCTTCACGTTCGGATGCCCCTACAAATACAATTAAACAACATAACTTGTTTCGGAAACAAATGAACGAGCAACCAAGACAGTTGTGCCTAAACAGAACGTAAATGCAAACCAAATGGTTCAAAAATAAATTAAAACAAAAGCCAAAAATTACAAAGTGGTACCGTGTGTTTATCAGAATAGTGAGAACTGATACCTATGCCTTTAGATAATACCATCCAAGTATCTTGCACCTGTTTTTTAGACTTGACATGTCCTTTATGCTCTCTGTCATTTTTCTTTCATTACTCCATAAATTACTCCAAAAAAATGGTTTAGGCAGGACAATGATCATTTTATTTAAGTAATTTCGGAGTACTGAAAAAAATGAAAAAAGGACAATGATCATTTTTTTAAGTCATAAAAAATGATACCCAGATAACGTGTTTCAAAAATCTAAGACGCCTACTCGGTATTATCCAAATACGGAGGTATCAATCCACCACTCCGATAAAATACAGGGTACCAGGATGCAATTTTCTCAAACAAAAATACGAGCTCAATCAGTTAACTGCGCATCTTTCATGTTCAAAAGAGACTCGCCAGCGCAAACATGAAAGAGAAGGAAAGAGTCCTTCTGTTTGTTTATTTTTTGAACTCCCTTTAATTTACTAACTTGTACCATTTTGTCACTAATCTGTAATTATGTATTTTGTTATTAATCTGTATTACATTATCTTTTGGACTAATATATTTAGTAACATGGCCTAAGACAATAATAACATACCTTGAGGAGGGAAACATTGAATTTGAAGGGAACATCATTTAGAGAAGGAATTTTGTAACTCCCAGGGCCACACGTGTATAAATATCCAGGTGGGATCCACTTATGAGCTGGATCACCCCACTTCAGTTCTTCTAAAGCTACCCACCCCAATCCTTGTATAAAAGCTCCTTCAATCTACAATTATGACAATTTCAAGAGATCAAATAAAGTGCAACAAAATGATGTGCAAAAATGATTAGGAAGACAAGCCAATTATTACCTGCCCAACATCAATGGCTGGATTGAGAGAATGTCCAAGGTCCAAAATAACATTTGCCACTCTAGTGTGGAAATCTCCGGTCAACGTGTCAATCTCAACCTCGGCAAATGCAGCCCCATAGGTGAAGTACCTGAATGGGTTCCCCTTACCAGTCACCCAGTCAAAGCCAATGTCGGGTGTGATGTAAAATCCGTGAGCAGAAAGGTCGATTCGAGCAACATAGCATGCACTCGCTAGCTGGGGGTCATAACAAATTATAATCGTCATATGCTGCTCTAGTTGTTAAAAAGCTTAGATGAAACTTTTGTCTGGCCATAAAAATCTTAATTGGAAGTAAATGACTCCCCCACCAACAAAAAAAAGAAAAAAAAAAAGCCCTTCCAATGCTTGGATAAAGTAGCAGCATAACATGCTGTGATTGTTATGCAAAAACCGAGATGGAAGGCAACGGTACCTCAGCAAAAGAGCTGAAATTATGCTTTGCAGCAATGGGCTCCATGCGTGCCTTAATTTGCTCACAGGCATCCAAAACCGCTGCTCCATACATATCGGAACTCGCAGAAGCTGCCGTTGGTGATGCGTTGGGAATCTTATTTGAGAAAAAACGTAAACACAAAAACAATGTAGAGTCCATATATCAGCAATGCCACCATTTAGAGTGCAAATAATTAGCAATACAAATAAGTACTACAGCATTGACGAGATATCATACAATATAATCTCAACTAATTAAACCTTAATATTTACACATGTTCTCACACATAACCAGTTTCGGTAGAGATGTTAAACGTAGTCATTGCTTCAGCCCACTTGCCACTTGGTCTGTTTAGGTTTGTTCTTTATAATATTTGGCTAACAAGACAAATGTTTAGGCAAAATTTCCCACCAACTAAGCAATCTTGCTTTTCTCTTGAATGTGGTCTACAGGACATGATAATTCAGCAAAAGGAAATAAAAATCTTTCGAACATTAGATTGCGAATTACCTTGTCCGTACTTGTCTCTGATATGAAGACAGAACTGAGGGGGATGTTGAAGGCAGAAGCAGCAACCTGAGCAACTTTGGTATGTAAACCTTGACCCATCTCGACGCCCCCATGTGTGACTAAAACCGTACCATCAGTATAGACATGAACAAGAGCACCTGCCTTCAGTTTGTTAAAGGATAGAGATAATTAATACAATTTGGACAGGATTCTGCAGTATAGAAGTTACTGGTGACTTTTTATCTGACTTGTACCGTACCTGGTTCATAAGCTTTAATGTAAAGGATATGCCAAATTTTGTGGGAACCATGGAAATACCACGCTTTTTCCACCGATTATGAGAATTAAATTGGTCAACTTCTTCGCGAGCTTTCGAAAATTCACAAGATAACTTTAGCTCATTCCAGACCTGGGCCAGAGTACAGTGTTGAAGTTGTTGGCCATAATGCAATACCGATCCTTCACCTTGAAAATTAATTTCCTGAATATTATGCATATAAATTGAAAAATCTAAGCTCAATGATCGTGAAAAAAAAAAAAAAAAAAAAAAAAAAAAAAAAAAACAAAAAAAAAAAAGTGTTTATAAATTGTTTCATGTCAACAAATAAAAGTATTACCTAACTTACCCTAATTTCTTCTGGGCTTTTCTTGAGCTCAACAGCAATTCTTTGTATCCAATTTTCCGTAATAAGCATTCCTTGAGGACCACCAAAGCCTCGAAAGGCAGTGTTACTAGGGATGTTAGTGAAGCACACCCTTCCCATGATCCTCACGTTTGGTATCTCATAAACATTATCCGAGTGGAACATAGCACGTTCAAGCACAGCAAGAGACAGGTCTAGTGAATTTCCAGCATTATTATATATTTCAAGGTCCAATGCCAGCACTTTTCCACCATTTGTGAATCCAACCTGTCAAACAAGATTCCACAATCAGTATCGTTTGGCATTACAAGTGGTGTGTAACTCCACTAAATAAAAAACTAGCCCAACTGATGGTCAAGTAGAAGCAACAAAGTACTGAATTAGAAATTCAGATGATTAAGAGATTAAGTCCTCTTTTCTCTCTTTCTACCAACTCTCTTCCCTCAACCACAAAAATAACAGGCAAGAGTAATTATAGATTAAGTTGTAATATGGGTAACATAAATGAACCTTGTATTTGCCAAAAAAGCTATGTCGTTGGCCAGATATCATCATGTCTGTATCACGGTCTAACGTAATTTTGACGGGGCGATTCAATAGATATGATGGGACAGAAGCTGCAGCAGCAATGAAGGCTGATCTCGTCTCCTTTCCACCAAAACCACCACCAATGCGCTTGGTTTTACAAACTACTTTTGACATTGGTAGGCCAAGAACATGGGAAACATATTTCTGATGCTTCTGTGGGGCCTGCACAATAATAAATAGAGTGATTCTTCAGTTTGAATTGAACCTGAGGAGAAGTAACATAAAGACCATCTAGTGCGCACTCTGACTAGTAAAATCCTTCAAAGTGACATCTAAAACACTTGCGGAGCAATAATTAAGAAGAAGCAAAGATTCCAATATAGTAGCATTGACAAATATTTGCAGATTTTCGGATTTTTTATTTGAACAAAAAAAGGCTTAATATCAATTAAAAGTAATAATTTAGAACCTACAACACTACAACCATAACATATAAAAATTAGTTGAAATTGAAACCAAAAACTTAGCTTGGTCAAGAAACAAAAGAAAGGCAATATGAAAAAATGTTCGTGTAGGTTAAAATACTTGTGTGGATGAAATCATATGAACTTCGTTTCCACCATCCATTGTCCATATCACACTGCTATTCGGCTCCAAGTAGAAGTGTTCCTGTCCTCCCACATGAACCTCCCCTTCTATGACCTTATCACATTGCCCAGATTGAAAACATAGATCAACATCCCCTTTCCTCATCCACTTTTCAGTGTTAGGGAGGAAACTTTTAGCATTGATGGCATCCTGTATCAATAAGATTGCCGGTAACTCTTCATACTCAACATGAACCTTTCTTGCCGCTAGCTTTGCATTTTCATGTGTATCAGCAACAACAACTCCAATAACCTGCACAAAATGTGCAATCCCATTATTGATATTAGAGAGGGAATATCCCGGTGTGTTTATGTAGAAATTTTAATGGTTGTCCATTTTTTTGTCATACCTGACCTACACAAGTAACATATTCTGAAGCGAATAGTTCCTCATCCGCAATAACTGCTCCAATCTTATTATCACCAGGAATACTGTCAGTAAAATATATCCCGACAAAACCAGGCAAAGATTTTGCTCCCGAATCATCTATTGAAAGTATACGGGCATGAGGTTTTTTGCTCAGTACTAAAGCAGCATGCAGACCGTTAGGAGGCAGCGGTGTGTCGTCAGCGTATGCTGCCTCCCCTGTAACCTAGTTGAAATCAGTAAATCAACATCATTATGCAAAAAGAAAACAAAAAATGAAAATGAAGAAACAACATCGTGATGCAGCAATCTACAAACAAAGTTTTATGTAAAACTGAAATAGACCAGCCAATACATGTTCTACTAAAACACTCTCCCTTTCAAACCCATAATGCTAAAGTAACTTGGAAAATCAGAATCAATACATTTGCTGCTTTCCCTACATACATACCTGAAGTCTTGATGACAGATGAACCTCAGGGGAACCCACGGCCGTTCCATGTCTTGTAATGTCATAATCTTGACTTCCTATAACGGGGGGCCGGTGGAATGATTCTACAGCAGATTGATAGGATAATGGAACACTTTTCTTATTGCATTGTGCTCCATCAATTTGGTGAGAAACCCACAGAAAGAATTTAAAGAAAAAGCTAAGAGTTAAAGATTTCCTAAACTCCACCATTCCACCAGGAGCGTCATCCTTGATCAAAATGTCCTTCTGCAAGACTTTCAAAGCACCCTCAAGTAACTCCTGGTTCCAAAGCTTTCCAATGAGAAACTCCTTCGTTGTTCTTGCAGAAAGAGAAAGCGGAGCAACGCCACCATAAACAATAGATGCATCTGTAACAACCTGATTTTCACCCCTTTGCTCAAGAAAAACACGAATTCCAGCATTTACAATTGCAATGTCATCCTCCCTTCGATGAGCCTGCTTAAATTCTTTCACAAACTCAAAAGGTCTAGTCCATGGTAAGAATATTGACTGCAAAATTTCATTCCTTGATAGATCCACTTTACGGTAACCAAGGAAAAAATTTTCTGCTGGGGTTGTTCTAGTGTTTCCTTTGCAGTCAGTAATTTGAAACTCTGCTCTAGCAGCCATCCACAAAGGGTTCAGGTCTGATATCGGACTAGCTGTACATATATTCCCACCAACCGATGCAACATTTTTAATCTGTGTCCCAGCAAACCATTTTAACTGTTCAAGAAAGGCCTTACAAGCAATAGTTTCATGAGCAGCACGCTCTGCTATGACCCTTCTAAAAACTTTCATGAGTTCAGATAGTCTTACTGCTGCACCTATCTCTATGCCGTCATCCTTCACATTCAATGCATTGAGTTCAGGTACATGCATAACAAAGATCAAAACCCGATAGTCCATTCTCTTCAACCTCATCTCAATTCCTACTTCAGAATTACCAACCAATAACTTCACATCCGGATATTTTGCTTTCAATTCAAGTAAATGTTGAAGTCTTAAGGGTCGAAACCACCTAAGCCCACCAAATCCACTCAAATTCAAAGGACTTGATTTTCTCAATAGAAGTTCAGGAGGAAAAATAAGTTCTTTGTCTGTGTATTTGCTTCCTTCTATCTCACTATATGAGACTGGTCGAAACCTCTCCATACAAACCGTACCTTGTCCCAAACTGCATTTGTTGTTGTTGCTTTCAGTCTTCGATCTACACGAGCAGGGCTTACCAGTAGAAGGGCAGACAAACTCGTGTTCTTGAAGGCTTAGGGAAGATGCCTCAGTATACAGCATATCATCAGTTTTGGCAAATACTCGAAATGCATCAACAATCGGTCTGTAACCTGTACACCGACACAAGTTTCCTGCAAGGCATTCTTCAATCTGCTCTTCACTAGGTGGGGTTTGACTCGACCTTAGTAACGCATACATGGACATAATAAAACCAGGGGTGCAAAATCCACATTGTGAACCATGAGAACGCGCCAACGATTCCTGCACAATAAATGACGTAACAAAGAAAAAATAAAAGAACATAATTACCAGTACACAAGATCCAATTTAAGCTCACACATATAATATTCCAGCTACTGATGTAAAATTTCTAACAGGCTTACAGATTCTGTATCATTCAATTCAGTCTCCTTCTATCAAGAACAATGAATGAATGGAACTGTCCATGTTAAATTGTTCATAATTTTTCACTCAGAAAAGTTTCTTCCCACAGTATAGGTCATCAAGACATAATATTTTTCTTTAAGTGTTGGAAGAGTGGGAAAAGCATGGCAATTAACAATAATCAAGAACACAAACAAAATGGACTCGCAGTGATGAGGAAAAAGTAGTACTTGAATCGGGTGTAGGCCACCCTTGCTGTTTCCCACTCCTTCCACTGTGATTACATGCATCCCTTCCACAGAATACAAAGGAGCCAAGCATGCATTGATAGCATAGTGCCTGAAAAAAGTTTTTATTTTTTTGCATTTTTTTTCATTTTAATTTGAAACTCAATAATATTAACTAAGTAAATGAAAAGACACAAAATCATGTTGGAAAGAGAGACTCACAGACATTTCTTCAGTTTCTCGTCATAATATGAAACCATGACAGTGCAAGCTCCACAACCACCTTCACCGCAGCCAAGCTTTGTCCCCGTCAGACCAACAATCTCTTTTAGCATAAAAAAGTTAATAAAGAGTAAGACAAGTTAGAAGCTTTTCCAAGTCAACGAGGTAATTTGAAAGAAAATCCAAGTGTCCACTCAAAAGTACGCCTGACCCACTTGGGATTAGACTTAAATAGCAAAGTACTTCTCTTTTATACTCTCTCTGGAATCCAATTCAAATCTGAAGCCAAGAAAAAA